TGTTTTAATTGATATAAACGTTGTCGTATCAGTTAAAACAAATCGTTAAAGAATCAAGAACGTATTAATGGATTAAAAGAAGTTTTAACAGATTAAAACTGCACTTTTAACAGATTAAAAGAATCTTTTAACAGATTAATTAAACCAGACAGTTTTGAAAATCTTCTATAAAAACAGTTTGGCTTGAACTTTTTTAACATACATTGAATATATCATCTTTTACACATCCTTGAGCAATCAATCAATCGCTAATTGCGACCGAATTAAAGTGGGGGTTGGCTCGAGGTTAGAGTTCGACGTCACTAGGGTATGCGTTAGGGTTCGAGCTCCGCTGGGTTTGCGTTGGGTTTCACAGCATGACAATTGGGTTTGGCTTGACATTGGGGTTCGATGTCGCCAGAGTTGGGGTTCGGGCTCGAGTTCGTCGAGGTTGAGGCTGGGGTTGAGATTCGAAGTTGCTTGGGTTTTGATTGGGTGTTTTGGTCACTCGATTTGAGATTCAAGGTCACTGGGTTGGATTTCAAGCTTGAGGTCAGGTCATGCATGCTTGGGTTAAAGATCTTCGAAGCTGGAATCGGATTTGAGATTCAAGGTCACTGGGTTGGATTTCTACAAGTGATATTTACACGGATATATATTTATTTGTATATAAATATAATTTATTTGTATGTTATTATCAAAAAATTCAAGTAGTTTAGTGGTTGGAGTATCGACCTCCAACTCTAAAGTACTTGGGTTCGAATCCTGCCAATGACAATTCTCTTAAAAATTAAAAAACTTCTAAAAAATATAATATAAAGAGATGGAGGACCTAATAAAAATATAATATGAAGAGAGGGGAGACTTCTAGATAAATAAAAGGGGGTAAAGGGGTTGTAAATAAATAAAAATTATTAATTTAAAAAATCATACTTTCAACGTCGGTTCTAACTGAAAGTTACGACTTTCAACGTCGCCTGATACAACGTCGGTTATTAAACCGACGTTGAAAGCTTTATTTGTAGTAGTGAATTTATATAAAATAAGTTTACTAATCTTCATTAAAAAAAATAAAATGTTAGAAGATGATATCATGAAAAATAAGCCATTAAAATAAAAAACAAGCATTGAATAAAAGGTATTTTTTAAAAATTACTATTAAATAAAATGAAACTAGTTAGATTTATTTATATCTAATATACATTTTAGATAGCGGTTATAAGAGAACCGCTATCTAAAGTCGACTTTCAACGTCGATTTAATTAGGGATGGCAAAACGGGCTAGGCCCGACTGGCCGGCCTGTCAGCCACGCCATAATATGGCGGGCGGGTTGGTGTTTTCAGCCCACCGGCCCGCTTTGGCCCGCCTCGCCCAGCCCGCCAACCCGTCGGGCCAACTCACGGATCGGGCAGAGCCAGACCGCGGCCCGCCTAATTAATAAAAAAATAATTTTTTATTGTAATAAAATTAATTATAAAGATAATATATAAAGTTAAAATTTTTAAAAAGAGAATTAAAAAAGTTTCATTCTCGGAAAATATTCTCCTTCCCGAAATATAACATTCTCTCATGTTCTCCTTATTTATCCTAAGTACTAATTATATATCCTTATTACTTGAATTAAAGGTATAAGAATTACTCAACCAAGTATAATATGAAGTTTTATCAAATAAAAAAGATATAGGTATTTGAATTTTTTAATATAAAAAATATAAATTTTATAAGTTTAACGTTATTTATATATATATATATTTGTTATTATTTATTATTATGTAAATTTTATTATTGTTCTAAATTATAATTTCTTAAAATAATATATTGATTTATATTATTAAATTGAAATAATATATATATATATATATATATATATATATATATTGAATTTGTTAAGGTTCCAACATAAAACCAATTGGCTATATGTGGAGTAGCCTAACATATATTTAAACCATACCAAATGACATGAGGTAGGCGATGTGGGACTTTCAACACACCCTTCCAACGAAGCCTCGTAGGACCAGGCAAAGGGTACTTTAGACCCAACTAAAGGGCAACTTTTGGCCCATGACAATAACCGGAAAGATGTTAGGCTTTGGCTCTGATACCAACTTGAAATAGAAAAAGAAAATAAAGAACTGATTTTGAGAGCTTGAAATCATCTTCTTGTGTTCTCTTATTTATAGGAGATAAAAATACAAATTCAGAGATACAATAAATAGAGAGACTTGATTAATCCTAGAGAAGATAAACAGATGCATTATAGGAACTAGGTCTACAACTAATCTCATAAATGTCCAACAAGATACACTTAATCTAATAAATACTTCAACAGAATTATTGACAAAAAATAATAATCTTATTATTAAATTTATTAAAAAAAAATATTATTTTTTTTAAATTATGGCGGACCAGCCAGCTCGGCCATAACCTGCCCCTTAGCGGGCTGGCCAAACGGGCGGCTGGCCCGTTTTGCCATCCCTAGATTTAATTAGAACCGACGTTGAAAGTATGATTTTTTAAATTAATAATTTTTATTTATTTACAACCCCTTTACCCCCTTTTATTTATCTAGAAGTCTCCCTCTCTTCATATTATATTTTTATTAGGTCCTCCATCTCTTTATATTATATTTTTTAGAAGTTTTTTAATTTTTAAGAGAATTGTCATTGGCAGGATTCGAACCCAAGTACTTTAGAGTTGGAGGTCGATACTCCAACCACTAAACTACTTGAATTTTTTATAATAACATACAAATAAATTATATTTATATACAAATAAATATATATCCGTGTAAATATCACTTGTAAAAATCCAACCCAGTGACCTTGAATCTCAAATCCGATTCCAGCTTCGAAGATCTTTAACCCAGTAACTTCGAATCTCAACCCCAGCCTCAACCTCGACGAACTCGAGGCCGAACCCCAACTCTGGCGACATCGAACCCCAATGTCAAGCCAAACCCAATTGTCATGCTGTGAAACCCAACGCAAACCCAGCGGAACCCTAACGCATACCCTAGTGACGTCGAACTCTAACCTCGAGCCAACCCCCACTTTAATTCGGTCGCAATTAGCGATTGATTGATTGCTCAAGGATGTGTAAAAGATGATATATTCAATGTATGTTAAAAAAGTTCAAGCCAAACTGTTTTTATAGAAGATTTTCAAAACTGCTGGTTTAATTAATCTGTTAAAAGATTCTTTTAATCTGTTAAAAGTGCAGTTTTAATCTGTTAAAACTTCTTTTAATCCATTAATACGTTCTTGATTCTTTAACAGATTTGTTTTAACTGATACGACAACGTTTATATCAATTAAAACACTTTACAAAAAATCTTCTAAGTTGATTTAATCGATTGTTTCGCGATTCAATCGATTGAAATACTTGCAAAACTTTCTCATAAAACTTTTCAAGTTATTTTAATCGATAAAAACAAGTTTTAATCGATTAAAACAAGTTTTAATCGATTAAAACGCTGTGCGTAAATTGTTCTAATCGATTGAAACAAGATTTAATCGATTAAAATAGTTCTGATCGGTCATAACTGCATTCTGATCGATCATAATTGAAACAATATAATAGCGGTTCCAGGTTAACCGCTATCTAAAATGTTTTTCGCTTGAGCGACACTCTTCTCGCTTGAGCGAAACGCCCCCTGCACAAAATTGGCATTCTCGGGTTGTATTTCGCTTGAGCGACACTACTCTCGCTCGAGCGAAATAAGATTCTGATCGATCATAACTTGAAATGATCGATCATAATCGAGAGGATATAATAGCGGTTCCCTTATAACCGCTATCTAAAGTGCACTTTAGATAGCGGTTCCCATATAACCGCTATCTAAAGTGTGTGAGTTTTTGTGGGGAAGAAAATCAATGGGGTTTCGACGTCGGTTATACCCACACCCGACGTTGAAAGCCCATGCAGAAGGGTTTTCAACGTCGGGTGAGGGCATAACCGACGTTGAAAGCCTACTTTCCACGTCAGGCGTGCTAAAACGACGTAGAATGTGTCAAAATTCGACTTTCGACGTCGGTTGTTGACCAACCGACGTTGAAAGCATATTCAACGTCGGCTAAGATGTAACTGACGTTAAACAGCGACGTTGAAAGCATATTTTCTAGTAGTGATAGAATTCAACCTACAAAATTTAATAAATTTTAAATATTTAAGTTAATTTTATATGATGATATTTACGTATTATTTAAGTAAAAAGAAAAAAAATAATAATAGGGCACTAATAGATTCATTGATACATCGTTATGGGTTTTGATGTGTGAACATGTGTACGAAAAATGGAGACGCGGTTTATTGACTTGTGATATAAAACCACCAAGTCAATAGTGGAACTAAGCATTACTATATATGTATTAGTCATCACATAAAACCATGATTTTTTTTTCCTTCAATGAGTATATTAATTAATGTATTATTTGTTATAACTATATTTAGTAATAATACAATGAATTTGAATGTGTAAACTTAAATTAAATTCATAGTTCAAAATTTAGTGTTTAAGTATGTGATATTGACCTGGATTAGGATAAGTTTTTTGTGGTCATAGTATGTGATGTTAAATCAACAGTGAGAGAAGTATGGGTATATTTTGAAACAGAGAAAAATACAGAAAAAGAGAACTTTGAATATGAAAAAGGTATATTTAATGATTCCACTATAGTGTGTATTTGAGTTTTCTATGACCCACTACTGCAAGTGCAATGACAGCACCACAAACGAATCCCCTGCAACACGATCTTTCGAATTAACGATGACTTATGAAACCAACACAAGATAATAGTAACTGGTTAGGTGTTATGGAAAGGAAGCTACTAGAAATAAAATCACTTTTTTCTACTTTACAAACGCTATATATACCCTTCCTCACCTCCCACTCATCCATCAAATTAGCTACACTGCGATACATTCTCACTGTTACTGTTCTCAGTGTGTGCTTGTGCTCTCTTCAATCCTCAACCATTAATCTCACTCGTATAAACAAGTCATCACGTTCTCATTTTAACTGATGGCAAGCTCCAAGGTCCTAGGGGCTGCTTTCATTGCTCTGCTCATTCTGGACCTTGCATTTGCTGCCAGGGTCCCAGAAAGGTTACTCGCCGGAAGAGGTGGCGGAGGCGGTGGAGGAGGAGGAGGTGGTGGTGGTGGTGGTCTTGGACGTGGTTCTGGGTATGGATCAGGGTATGGGTCAGGTGGGGGTGAAGGGTATGGTGGAGGATCACTAGGAGGAAGTGGTGGTGGTGGCATAGGAGGAGGTGGTGGTGGCGGTGGGGGGTTGGGTGGTTCGGGATACGGGTCCGGATATGGGTCAGGGTATGGATCCGGATACGGTTCTGGTGGCGGTGCGAATGGTGGAGGAGGAGGTGGGAAAGGTGGAGGAGGTGGTGGAGGTGGAGGTTCCAATGGTTATGGGTCTGGTTATGGTGAAGGAAGTGGTTATGGTGAAGGAGGTGGGAATGGAGGACGAGGTGGAGGCGGTGGTGGTGGAGGTGGCGGAGGAGGTGGTAGTGGAGGTTCTGGCTATGGAAGTGGGTCAGGGTATGGGTCTGGTTGGGGTGGAGGAGGAAATGATGAGTCCCCATAAACTAAGAGATGGTTTTGTTTTAGACATAGTAGCATAGAATGTTGTTGTTGGCATGTTATATACGTGAGTTCCAAAAATAAATTGCAGTGAGATCATGACTTTGGTGGTGGTTCTGCTTCATGCATGCATGGGGTGTTACCCTAGGTCAAAGTAGCCATTATGTTGTTTATTAAGAACTGCATTAGGTTCCGTATCAAAGTTACCCTTGCGATTGTATTTAAGATTAATAATAAATAATTTCAACAAATGCCTTTATATAGTTTGAATTCCTAACAAAAACTTAAGCGTGTTGTTAATAAAACTTTTTGGTGATTGTATATCATAAAATACCAATATCATAAAACCATAAACCCTAAACAAACAAAGATTATTAAAAAAAATAATGTTATATATATCACGATATTATAAAATACAGGAATTATAATATCTTTAAACTATTATTAAACTTCCTAACATATCATATTTAAAAAGATAAAGTGCAAAACCACCTCTCCTGTTTGGTACAAGTTCTTTACTGAGTAACAGCGGAAATAGTATCCATTTTATTATTTTTTTTATTTTAATTTATTAAATATATATATATATATATATATATTTTTTAAATATAAATATTTATTTTTAAAATTATTAATTATTAAAAATAACTAAAGATGAGATCAAGTTTTAAAAAAGGAAAAAACAAAAAAAAAATCATAATTGACGATGGAAGGAAGGAATGATATAATTTTATTATTTTTATTTTTATTTTACATTTAAAAGAAATTTTGAAAAAATGTGTTGCTAAAAATAATAGAGAAAAAATATAATATAAATATTTTGTTTCCTTTCAAGATAACTTAAAAAACCATTAAAAAAATTTGTATATATTATTATAGATAAACAAAGGACCAATTTCGTTGTATAAAATTTTAGCCGTTGCATACTTACCAAATATAGTTTTGATTAATATCTCAAAATCAATGTCTTATTTAAAAATTGTCATTACTCCACTTGCATAATTGTTAAAGATAATTGTTACTAATTTTTGTCAACCAAAAACCTTGCCATATTTATTATTTAATTGACATTGAAACGACATAAAACCAATGCATAATATAAAACGATAAGTGTTTTTGGGTTCAGGATAAGAACATGCATCAGTCAATGACCACTTTTTTTTTTTTTAAATGGTATACTAATAATTAATCTTATTAAAAATAGTTAGATTATTATTTTAGCATGACCTTAATTTCCTCCGTCTCAGTACAAGTCCAAAAGTGAATCTACTTTCCTTCCACTCAACTTATTATGAGTACTTTATATGATGGGGTTAGAAACGGACTGGAACCTTAAAAACAGAGGCATACGAAAAGTTGGTAAGTGGAATAGCCATAATAAATATTTTCCTTAAGACAGCAATATTTACACTTTATTATATTTTAAAAACCAAAAGACATCCAAGATGTTATTTCTAGAAGAATAATAGATATGGATAATTAATGTAAAGAAGTAAGATAATAAATTCCAGTTTAATTTTAAGAAAAAAATATAATGTGATTCAATGCCACTTACCATGATTTAAGATAGATTAGGTTGAAAAGTTTAAAATTCTCAATTATAAGTCAATTTTCTTAACCGTGGCTTAAATAAAATTGGGTCAGATTAATATTAAATCGATTTATAATTTTTTTTAAATAATTAATTATTTAATTTACCCGACCCATATATTATATATTTCTTTTAATTTTTGATAAATTAATTTATCCCACTCACCAAAAGGTAAACGGGATTAAATTAACTTATTTTTAACTCAACATTAATAAACATTGGTTGACTCATTTTTTATCCCCTACAATATACACAACCTGTTGTAAATGCCTGCCGCTGATAAACACAGTTTAAAGAAACATTTCTTCAAGGATTAAAAGAAACAAACTTTTTTTGATAAAAAGTGCACCGGAAAGCGAAAAACTGCTATTGAGATATTCCAAGACATATACTGGCTAGTAAAGCTCATCATATTAATATATGAAAAATTAGAAACACAAGTTGGGATTGAGGTTCTAACAACTCACAAGCGAATTCTTGCTTCTCAATTGCTATCACAAAATAATTTTCAAATCCTATCTCAAGCTAGTGATTGAGGATACAAATCATATATGACATAAGCACCTGTTGACTTACAAAAAAAAAATTTAGTTCTAAATACTACATTTTGGAATGAGAGTGCACTATCCAATCGAACTTATCTGTTGATGGGGGTTTGAGAAGAAATTCTATAAGACCGCTCTCAATTCAAGAAAAAAATATTCCTGCCCTCTCCCGCTACAATAAAGATCTTCAAAGGTATATGATTTGATGATAATTTATGAAAACAAATCCCAAAATTCAGCAAATGTATAAGCAATTAGCAAGCAGATTGACTAAGTATCTAACAGCAGACAAGTGCACTTGCAAACTACTCGATCACCCTCTCAGTAGCATAAGCAACCTTCTGCAATATCATAGATTCAGCCGTGCGTATTGCTCTCTGGGCTCCTGTTATGGTAACTTTCCTGTAATACGAAAGTACAAACACGTACAAAACATATAAGGTTAAAGATATTATCTCAAGGCATTTTCTCAATAATTTTTGTTATACTGGGAATATGAACCAAAGCAAAATCTTGTGTGAACAAATTCCTACCTATCAGTTGTTCCAGAAATATAATCACCTCTATCTGATATCTTTATCCTTGCACCACTAACCTGAAAAAACAAAGTCATTCAAATTAGTTATTGTTTTAGTAATCACAATATACACCTAGCAATACTGTTAGGCTTAACAAACCTGACTAATTTCCATAATATTCCTTCCACCACGACCAACAACCAATCCTATATGCTCATCTGCAACACCCATGGTCAACGAGTTACTCCGCTCCTCCTGGAAAGAACACAACAGACGTAAGTTTTAACTGAAAGCAAATCACCGATAAGGATGTAATGATTTAAAAACAATTTCATTCACTAAATTCACTATTGATTATATACAAAATCTCAAGATAACATGTTGACTTTCTTACGATTAAGGGAAAATAAGAAAGATACATCATGGAAAGTGAGCCAAATATGGTAACAGATGTCTCAAGCTTGGAACTCAATTATTTTTTCCTAATTGACAAACTAGTTATGTTCTTTTATGATTTTATTATTGTTATCATGTTCACATTTTCAAGACTTGTACAAAGTAGTATTTTCATATATTTGTAAGATTTTACACAAGCTGATAGAAACTAGTGTCTGAACTCAGGCACAGAATAGGGAAAAAATCCCCAATTTACAGAAAAGAGCACACACTGCAGAAAAGTTGAGAGTCTGCATCTCCTAATGCCCAATGCCTTAATCATCTCAACTGACAAGATAAAATCCCTCTCAACCCTCTATGATTTATATACAGCTACTGGTCTGCTAACATAAACCCACTCTAACTGGGCCTAATCATAACCCCTTGATTTTTTTACTAACTTAATATAACACACATCTGCATACTCACGCAAATTAAAAGGTCCACCGTAACCTAAAATGTTGGACTGATAGGTTCAACTAATTGGACATTCAACTCATCCTAGCACTGGAGAAGGTTAGCCTTTTAACTAACCCTTGGTAAAAAACCATCTATAGCAAGAGTTAAATCACAATTTGTAGCATATTCAAATAAATTTTAACTTGATTCCTGGCCTTTATTTTAGTATCTTGTCAACGAAGAAACAATTGTCAGAAACATTAAAAACGTTCGATGCATTATGCATATTTCACAAATTTGATTGATGTAATTCCTGTCCGCATTTAGCAGTAATAAAAAAACACGCTTACCTAAATGCAAGCCACAGTCTATTTGACTAAGTAACTACTGCACTTCATAAACATCAAATGATGTTCTGAAAGCAAACACAGGGAAAAATATATCTTTTGAAAGCCACCTTTAAAATTAAGTTTCTTTTTTATAATTGTCATATATTACCTGTAAATTTCACTCTTAGGATGTTGAAATCCCAAAACAGCACTAATGCCTAATGTTTGTAGGACTTTTTCGGAATCAAAACATAGCACCACTATTCAGCCTAATATTTGTTATACTACACTAAAAGGCTTGCAATAGCAACCCCTGTAGGAGGTCGGAGCTACTACGACAGTAGTGACAATGACACACTGTTCAAAACCTTGTAGTATACATTATATACAAATATAGGGCTTAACTGCACATTTGATCTCTCAGGTATTGCAATTGTGCAACTCTGGTTCTCTAGGCTCCAATTACCTAAGTACAACCTCCTCCAACTATTGCAATTGTACAATTATAGTCCCTCTGTAATTATTCCATTAAACATTTTGCTAATGTAACATTTGAAGATAACATCACAACTGACGAGTTGCCATCAAGTCAGGCAATACATCACTGCAGCATCATCAACACATTCCGTTCAACCGTCATGTCAGCAAAATAAATCAAATATTTAACATAAGAAGTAAAATAGCACAATCACAATTCTTGGAACACCTAATTCGTGACACTGGACCCTAAGAGACTAAAATTGGAATTACAATACTCAAGGGACAAAATGCGCAATTAAGCCAGTATGTATATCCAATAGACTAAATTTGAAACAACAATATTCAAGGGATAAACAGCACAACTAAGCCAATAAAATCTAACAAGGCTCTATATAGTGCATTATAGTGGTGGACAGCCCCCACAAGGGCGACTAGAGAAGTGACTTAGAGAAGTAACCATAGCAAATAATTTAAACCTTGCTAGATCATATATATATATATATATATATATATATACATATATGTATGTTATGCAATGTATATTACAAAGTTTTAATAGCACACTATAGCATTGCTATAGTGACGTAGCAGTCTCTGCCTCCACAAGTGCTGCAATAGTCACTATACAATCACTTCTCCATATTTGATTTGAAATGGGAGCATGGCAGGTTTATACATTCTAAGTTTTTAACAAACTAGTAGGTATGACCTCATCTAGTATGAAGATTCAAAGGGTATTCAGAAGCATGAGAAAATAAATTCACGATAGCAACTCAGGAGTCTTTATGCATATGCTTTCAATCCTTGCAAATATACCTGTTTTTGCTTTTGTCCCTAAGATTTTCTTATTTGTTTTAGTAGCTGGATTTTTAGATGTTAGCAATTTTGGTCCATCGTGTTAGTATATGTTGAGAAAAAGCTGTTAGGGGCTGACAGCTTCATCAACGATGGTATCAAGTGTCCCACCAAATGATGTCATTAAATCAAGTATCACATTATCCAAAAATGACATGTCATTAAAAAGATTATGTCAATATATCACATTTTTTAAAGTTTCATGTCGGCAGAGATTAAAATAAAAAATTGACATATTTACAAGGATTACAAACAATGATGAATATAATGTAAATCCTTTTTATCTTTTGTCGTGTGTGTCTGAAAAGTTAGCAACTTAGACCATGAAAAACTTTAAACAGATTAAATCAATGAAAGTGAAGAACCTTGCTATTCTGTAACTTTGCTCCAGCACCATTTGGTCTGTAATTCACTGCATTGTATGCAGGTGGTGCAACAGATGGAAGCACATATGTGTATGGTACACCCTGATAGCCCGAGAAGTAAACACCTGAAGTGTGTTAAATAAATTTTCATTAGGAAAAGTCACCCATTATGATTCCTCGCAAAACATAACTACTTATACAAACCACGCAATTATGTTTTCATTTTCATTGCGAGCATAACCTGATTTTAAAATAATAAACTACAAAAATGAGCTTATTTTAGGTATACTATACTCTACTGTTGCTTTAATATAGATATCCATGGTTGCATATTGCTGCTATGTTTCAATAAATACCATTGTTAGTGATGTAATCCACAGCTTAGCTTCAGTACTTAGGTTGAATTGGACAATTGAGTATTACATGATATGAAAGAGTATAACCAGGTTGAAGTGACCAAGATAATCTTGCCATTCTCAATATTTATAATTAAATTCGATATTAGAACCAAGTGTCCTTTTCAATGACCACATTTCAGACCAAGAGGTAATATAAGAAGATCAACAATTTAATGTGAATAAGGCGTGCGCCACTCTAGCAAGGTTACCAATTCTCTCCTTTACAAGACCAATTTGACTAGAACAAAGTATGGCAAGACAACAAAAGGGGAGAACTTGCCTCGATATATTTAAATATATGAAACTAATATTTCTTTTCATAAGATAAAATCAAGTAGGAAACTAACTCACTCATCAGGACAGCGCTGTAAGTTAAAAATTGCAATAAGAAACAAAAAGAAGAGTCCTTTTTATTGCTAAAACATTTATGCAAAAATGAGTTGAAGTGCAGTACTGCAATGAAGATGAATAATAATGATACCAAGAAAATATGACTTAAATTTGGAAATGGTGGCTTCCAATTCATGGTTGTGCAGGGCCAAGCCACATTTCATGGAACATACATTCAAGCAAATTAGGAAGTAATCTTCTGGTATTGAATTTACACATGGATCTGATCTCAAACATATATACTGACAAGAATGATAAAACTCCAGTACAACATGAGAAGAAAATATATATATATATATATATATAATTGAAACACTCAATTTTGAACCATGTAGCATACCCTAAACACTGTCATGCGGAGGCAGATCAAGTTAATTAGAGCATTAAGTGAACCAAGGAATTTGAAGCCTATATAAGATGGATTTCTAGATAGTATTCTTGATTATCTCATCTACACTCACTCGGAATCAATCAAAACCAGTAGCTCGTTCCTGGATAGGACAGAGACAGTGCTTTAAGTTTAAGTGGGTTTTTGGCTGCCCTGTTTTCAAGAAGACAGACACCTCATATCACTGCCTCAAAGTAGGATAGGATTTTTATGGTTGCCACGCACGCCACTATCTAGCTTTTGACTTGTGTAATAATCTTTTTATCTCCTTTAATCTTCAGAGAAAAATTAAATGAGATATGAAATTTAAGTTTATATGGTGGAGAGTAATAAATGACTGAATCAGGTCCTATTTTTACAAGCCTAGTTTTTTTTCCATGTTGTTCTATAGCAACTGGCCAGTAATGCCATTTGCAGCACTAGTTACAAACTACATAATGAAAGGTGATATAAATAATTTGCGAGGTAATACAAATTTAAGTAGCATTTTTCACCGAATGCAAAGAAGTTATCAAGAAAATATGCATGTACACCTATCGATTTAATAAAATAGAGAAAATATCCATATGTTATTATGGTTGGCATCAGTATAAGATAAAGAAATAACACTAATATTTAAAATTGTAAACACACACTCTAATAATTAAATTGCAAACACACGCATCAACTAATATATATTAATTACTAAGAAATAACTATATGCATGCTTCAATATGAATGTCTCAAATTGTAGGAATGAATTTAGTAGCAGGCATCAAAAAGACAATTTGATTAGGTTATTAGGTTTCCTCCAGATTACTTTCTCTCCAGTAAATACTTTTACCCATTTAGCAACACAATTCGTGCTCTTGAATTTTATTCTCTTTCTAATATGTTTTCCCTTCAAAGTACAGGTCCAGTAACAGTAAGGGCTTCCAATGGCTAACTAATGATGCAGCCATTGGTGCAAAACAGACTAAAGAACTGGGTACATGTGGAAACATAGCTTAAAAGCCACAGATAAAGTGAAAGCTTAAGATGGGAGTGTGATCTGATATGGGCAGAAAAATATTGAGGTGGAAACAAAAGCCAGGAAAAGTTACTATTCACCACCGAAAATGTTTGAGCCGCTCATCGTTCATACAGTTCATTCAGTTCACAACTTTTTCAACAGTTTTAATACGATTTAAATGTTTATCATTGTTTAACCGAACCATCATCAACCTGGAAAGGGGACCAGTTACAGAATGAACTGGACAGTACAGTTCAGTTTCTGACTCTGAAATAAGTATACACTTATCTTTTAAAATGTTTCTTACACAAGTATTACTCAGTAGGATCAATAGGTATTGCAAATGTATGATTAGAAACTTCAAATGTTTTATTTTAAAATAATGTGTCATTTAAAGTTGAAAAGAGAACATATTCCCACCATAACTATCCTCTAACTAAACAATAAAGTAGAAAGACCGATGGACACATCTCATTGATTAGAAACAAAAAAGGTAAAGTGTTCAAAAACATAAACAAACTAAACTAACAAAAAGTGAACATGATATGCCAATTCAAGTAAAACCCCCACTCTCTCCCTGCAACCATAATTGTAGATTTCCATACATATAGAAAAACAGATGATGGAGGATATATGTGTAATGTCAACATCAGGAATTACTTCCATCATTCATATTTGGTGCTCTAAAATAAATATACATGACATACCAGCAAAATCCATAACTGGAGAACAGATATTACACTGTTAACAAACGACACTAACCAGGATATGAAAATGGAGAATTCATGGACTGTGCATAATGAGGATCTTCAGCTAACTTAGAAACAATTAATTCAATTGCACGAATCTGTTCCTCAAGAGTTCCCGTCAGGGTCACTAGCCTATCGTTCTGTCCATAGTAATTATTATCTTGAGGAGATATCTTAATGCCAGCCTGAGAGTCTTCAATGAATGATCTGATCATTGGCAAAAAACTGTATAAGCTAAGCATTTTATCTCCATGTATCATTATGAACAAAACACATAGAAAAAGACCCTGTAGTGAAAATAGCAGTCAACCTAACAAGATAATTCTTTATTTTTAGGAGGGGACAGCAAGGGAAATAGAAGCTCAGGCACCAAAGAACCAGAATCCATACAGGAAACATAACCCTCAAAGTCAAGATATACCAAAATAGTAATTAAAAAAGACAACCATCAAAGACTACTTGTATAGTACACATTTCCTAAACGCTGCAAACAAGAAGACCCTACAAGTCAACAAAGAAGAGTGATGATACCTAATGGTTGCACCTCCCTTTCCGATTATTCCACCACATGAACCATTAGGAACAATGAGTCTCACTTTTGTCTTAGGTTCAGCATCATTCTCATCCTCACTATGAAGCTAATGACAAATAGCAAATTAATTTCAGAAGCATGCAGAATATCTGTTCGTCAAACAACTAATTGAATCAACATCATAGAGATTACCTCACTGAGCAACTTAGAAAGAATAAGTCCAACAGCTGTTAGTATTTCATTTATCGCACCAGATACCATGATAATCCTATCAGTAGTTCCAGGAAAGAATTCGTGATTACGTGACAACTGGATTCGTGCTCCAGATTGTGACTGAAACTCAGTGATAGTTGAACCACCCTTTCCAATAACTGAACCAGCAGCAGAATTTGATACAAGAAACCTAATATATGTTGGCTTCTCCTCGGAATCTGAAAGAGGTAAAAATGAAATTAATAACAAATCATTAAAGTAAAACTTTTCATGCTGACAAATCAAATTATAATTGATGCAGTTGGAAAAAAAAAGTTAAATTCAAATATTAGAAAATGAGAGTAAAAATAAAAAACACGTATCAGTCTAGCATTGAAGTTCCACTTGTTGAAAAAAAATTAATTACATAATATCACATAAGCATTTCACAAAATCTTTTCAGTGAATATACAACATCCTTTCATTCCTATTTAATTTAACTAAGCAGGGAAGTAACAGTCTTGAGATACTCATACAAAGGTGGGAAAGTTCCTTTGTTTCTAACTCTCAGTAACTTAAGAGTTGGTAATAATTTATATTTTGTAACGTCACAATTCACACAAGCATTCTATAACATAATTCTCTTCTAATGTTATATTTAAAAACAATTTGCCTCAGCGTGAGAAAGGATACTTCCTTTCCACCCTTACTGAAAAAAAAAATCGTAAGACATTCTACTCTGAAATTTTTTTCCCCGATACCATACTGAATCTTAAAAACTTTTCTGTCAAAGCAACGGACAAAGTGACATTTCAGATTTCGTAATTGCGTGTAGAATATGCCCCAAATTTATTGAAACTGAAATAATTCTAACCTTTCTCAAATTTATCTTGCTTTCAAAAAAGTTCCGTTAGTTTCAATGAAATCAAAAGGACAAAAAAAATAGTATTCCCTCTACGTTGCTTGGTATCTCCAGAATTAAAAATTAAAGAAGAGAATAAAGTCGGAATAATTACTCCACTAAGAAATCATAATAATAACAATCATTCAATTATCAAATCAACAGAAGTAAAAACAAATAACGTAAAACCGAAAATCACATCCACACACGACATAATAACACTTCTACTTCGTTAATTTAATAACAGGAAACGAGAAACAGAATTTAAATCTAGCGAGAAACAGCACTGAAGCTCCATTGTTAAGAGTTAGGGTTGGGAATTAAGGCGTTGACCGTGGAAAAGCTTCGCCGACATTCAGTCCCTAACCTACATTACTGTGCGCTGCATAGAACAAGGTTAAGCAAAACGAAAGGAAGAAAGTGGTAAAGAGAGAAAACAGATCGGATCAGATCAGATACCTAGCGAAGGCGATTTAGGAGGAGGCGATGTAACGTGCTTCCTCGGTCCCTCGGGAGAAGACACGTAGGAAGATTCCGTCGACTCCATTCTCCTTCTTCCTCAGCTTCTTCTACAACAACGAGAATGAAAACCTCTTTCTCCTTCCCTGAGAAAGAGAGAGAGAGAGAGAGAGAGATTATATATGATGAATGATTCAGAAAGAGAGCGAGAACAGGGAGCGCGAGAGTTTCATGTCATTGACGCAACGTGAGGATTGTGAATTGTGAAAGAGAATCGAGGGAGTGGAAACGGAAGAGTGAGTGGGTGGAAGCGGAGAGAAGAGAAGAAGGTGCAGCAGTTCTGCTTGCTACATATCCAACGTGACCTTTGTCTCTCTCTCTCTCTCTCTGCGTTGTTGTTGTTGTGTTGTGTGTGTGTGATGTGTCAATGTGCGTGTTGTGAGGTGTGAGTCGGTGTATTCGGAACCGGATCCTCTCCAGCCCTCTCCATCATTTTCTCAACCGTCGGATGAAACAACACAAATGGTTATGATTTAAGTTGCCAGTTTCAAGGAAAAATTTGGTCCATCAACTTTGTGGCCATGGCTGTTATCAAATTAAAATCAATTATACATTTTTTTCTTTTTCTTTTTTAAGTTTTGAGTTTGTTATAAATTTAAAATTTTTTTATTAATAATTTAAATAAATGAAAAATGAAAAATAAAAAATAAACATTTAAGATATTTAAAACTTCAAATGTTTTAAGACGTAATATTAAAATATTAAATGACATATTTTCTTAGAAGTGTCGAGTATTTAGAAAAAATGTCTAACACTATAAAAGAAAAATATTTATTCTTAGTTTTTTCTAAATTTAAAATTTATTCATTTTAATTTCTTAAATAATTTTGATGATACTTTATGAAGGAAAAACGGTTTAAGTAAATAAAAGACGAATAAACTTTATTAAAGAAACTTCTACATGTTTTACAAAGACTAAGAATATATTTTATCTAACATTTTAATATATTTAAAATACCAATTGCAATTCATTTAAATTTAACCCCGTGATATATATTGCAGCAAAGCATTGAATTATTCTTTTTTCTTAAGATTGGCAGAAAGTAGAGATGAAAGTGGCGGAGAAGAGGATAGGGTACGATTTCGCTGTCTTGCTTAGTTTCTTGTATTTTTTTAATTCAACGTTCACTGCACTAACTAATATTATTTCAAGGAGCCCCACCCTGTCATACCAGTACCTTGCTGGCCATGAGTAGGGTGTAACCATATTTTTAAATATTCTTCATTAAGTTTGAAAAATATATTATAAAAAACAAGTTTGAAACACTATTCATGACATTGATTAATAGTTATTGCAAATTTTTCTTCTTTCACTTGTTTAATTTTATTCAAAATTGTTAGGCACCTTTTAAGTAAACTCGACCAAACATTTAAAAACAAAAAACAAAAAAAAAAATTTAGACATAATAATTTTATTCACATAATTAGACATTTGAAAGATATTATATGAGATTCATCATTTTGGCAACATTGGATTATAATAAATTTATTCAATTTGAAAAAAAAACAACTAATTAAACTTTTGTTTACTATGCTATCACTAAAAATTATATATTTTCTAATTATTATTCCTTTGTTAATGTTTCTTTCTATCGTTGACTAAGTGTAGAAGATATGTCCTCAAAAAAAATACAATGAAATTTATTGTCGATATTAAAATAATAAGATGTAATCAAAATTATAGTTATTTTAAGAATAAAATATTTTTATATAATAATTATAATTTTTTCAGTAAACTTTTTATATATTTACAGTGAAAAACGTGATGATAATGTTTGTATGAATATATACGAAGAGATAGATAATAGATCAAATTTGTTATCAACCGTAAAGAAATGTGAATATAATAGTTATATTTTACTCTTGTGTAAATATTTTTTTATTATATAATTGACTAATTTATCTCACATAATTAATTAACCTTTCTTTATACAATGGATTAGTATTCATGAATCATTCATCAAAATAAATTAATTATCAAAATTTTAGAAACCAATTACAATATATTTTATTATTGTAATTAATAATACATCAACACAGTTGCAAGGGAAAGAAGGGAATCAAGGACAACACTAAATCTCTCGTTCCAACGTAGAAAAATCAGAATATTATAACTGATAATTTCTAATAATCAATTAATTCAACATAAACACTTGCTATCCATATGAACAAATATTGACAATTTTCTCATATATATTATAATTTATATTGTATTATTTTTAGGCAATTAGATTTATTCAAACATAGACAACAAAATGTAAAATAAAGGTAAAGTATTTATAGAGTTTTTTTTGGACTAGTGTTTTAATCAGCTAAAGGTACAAGTTATTTTTTTAACCTTTATAATTTATTATTTTAATATTATAATTGTAATTAATTTTAATTTTTCTTAAGACAAAAGTATAATCTCATGCACCAAATTGGTCCACGCAGTAGTTGGTATAAACAAAATCCGTTTGGTAATAACCAAATAGAGCAACAGGAAATAAAGAAGAAGGTACGAAACAACAACAAGAAAGAAAAATAATATGAAGTAAAGTATAAATTATATTTGTTTATTGTATAAAAAATATTAATTTAAAAAAATCATAAATAAAAATAAATTTAGATATTTATACAATTATAAAATATTTATATAATTACTAATTAAAAAATTATAAATAACATAATTTTTAAATTAACATTTTAAAATTAAGATACCATATTTTTTAAATAGTATATAGTTTAATATATATTTATAAAATACTTTTTTATCAAAATAAATTTTTTTATTTATAAATATTTGAGTTTAAACTATCAAATTAATATCGTGTTAAAAATATTTGAAATACATTTATTTATTTATTTATTTCAATTTTTATATTTATTATATTTTAGAAATATTATAAAAAATAAAATAAGTGTGTAAATTAAAATTAGATATATACAAATAAATAACTCTTAATTTTAAAAGTTATATAAGATAATATTTATTTTAATTATTTTAATTAATTTATATATATATATATATATATATATATATATATATATATATATTAACACAAAAATAAAAGCACATTCTTCTCTTTTACTTTCTTTCTTTACTACTAGATAAAAGACATATTTTATTTATACTTGTTTTATTTCATTATTAACAAATTATAATAGCTTCATAATTTTATTTATATAAATTTCAATATATATTACAACATGTAATATTTTCATAATAAATAACTCTTCAAAAAATATATATACCAGCATATATATATATATATATATATATATATATATATATATATATATATATATTATTCTAATTTTTATTTGTTGACACGTTCTCTCTTAAATATTTATAAAAAATTAATTTTTTATATCAACCATTTTTTGTATTTTATATTTATTAAAAAGTCAATAGATATTATATTGTTTTCACGTGTCAGTTGATATATTATTCATCACGTGCGTGTGTCTCTATTTTACGATGTCATTCTTTTTTTTAATGTTATTTTTTATGATGTCACTTTTTTTAATGTTATTATTCATATTTTTAATGTTATGTTATAGTCTCATCTTTTATTAGGGTTTTTATTTTATTTTTTTATTGTTTCATGTATTGTCGTTCGGTTATTTAAATATTTATTTTTAAATTATCAAAAGTTCTAAATTATATATTATTTGATATTATTTTATAATTATTTGAGATTATTTTGTATTTATTTAATAATTTTATGTTTATTTTTTAATTTTATTTTATTTACAGTAAAAAAATATCATAAAATAATAAATATATAAAAAAATCAATTTTTTATGTTGAAAATACAAATATTCACTACAAGAATTTTACATATTAATTATGATATATTCAGTAATTATTTTATAATTAATCTCTCGCTGATATATTTTGCTACATATTAGCTATGAAATATTTCATAGTTAATTAAATAGAGATGTATTCTCCCTCAAATTTACATAAAATTTTATCGTCAATCTGTCGTTGAGTCTCTCACTAATTTAAGTGATGAAATTTTGTATTTCTCTAGCTAATTGATCTTCCAAATTTTTAGTTAATCCCTCACAATTTTGCTCTCACTAATTTGTAACTAATCCCTCACAATTTTACTCTTGCTAATTCGTAGTTAATCCCTCACAAATATTTCTCTCGCTAATCCGTAGTTAATCTCTCACAATATTTCTCTCGCTAATCCGTAGTTAATCCCTCGCAATTTTCACTATCGCTAATTTAGAGCTAATCCTCTGCAAGTTTTCTATAGTTAATCTGTAGCTAATCCCTGACAATTTATCTCTAACTGATCTGTAGCTAGAGATGACAAAACGGGTCAAACTCAACGAGTCAGCCACGACTGCTATAATATGGGACAGAGCGAGACCGACCGTGACCCACCTAATTAATAAAAAAATATTTTTTATTGTAATAAAGTTAATTATAAATATAATATATAAAGTTAAAATTTTTAAAAAGATAATTAAAAAAGTTTCACTCTCACATAAAATATTCTCCTTACTGAAACACAACATTCTCTCTCATGTTTTCTTTGTTCTCTTAAACACTGATTATTTTTATCCTTATGACTTGAATTAAAGGTGTAAAATTTACTAAAACACAAATAATATGAAGTTTTATCAAATAAAAAAAATATAGGTAATTAAATTTTTCAATATAAAAAATATAAAATTTATAAGTTTTAACGTTATTATATATATATATATATATATATATTTGTTATTATTTATTAATACGTAAATTTTATGATTGTTCTAAATTATAATTTTTTAAAACAATATATTTATTTATATTATTAAATTGAAATAATATATATATATATTGAATTATTAACAAATAAATAATAATCTTATTATTAAATTTATTAAAAAATTTGATTTTAAAAATATTGTTTTTTCTAAATTATGGTGGGTCGACCCGCTAACCCGTCGTTGGCAATGGCAGGCCAAGGTCTACAGCCAGTCATGACTATAACGGTCGATCAACCCGATCTGCTTTTGGCGGGCCAAAGGAGGGGCGGGCTGACC